TCTGCATATGACTTTGAATTTTGCATTGCAAAGACATTTCAGAAATCATTCAGGCAGTTAGCATTTGCAAACTGCTTGGTTACATTTCATCCTTGCTGTATCCTTTTTGGGAAGCAACTCCCCCCTGGAGGCCTTTTATTCAAGAGAACTTGTTTTGCCAAAATTTGGTACCTGTTGAAACTGCTTCTGAAAAAGTAAGAAGTTACAAGTCCAAGATTTTGCACTTTTAAGTCAGTAATTCACCAAGCATGAAAGCCAGGAAAAGCTTTTTGCATCTACTAAACCAACTCTTCTTCCACAATGGAAGGAGCAGTACTGGTTTGTGCTAGGCAAACCTACAGCATGTGTGCTGTCACTGTATGCGTAAAATGGATTGCTGCTTTGATACTTATGTACTGACCAGAAATCTGTCTCCTTTTTCTCCTGGCAGTAGAAGTGAATGAAAGAACCAATCTTGAGAGATCACAAAGGACAAAAAGCTGCTTAGGAAATAAGACTTCAGTCCTTGCCAACTTTTCAGAGACATTCTAATTGAAAATGAGTCCTGGTATTTCTTAAGAGATGCAAAATTCAAAAGAAAATGAAGGCTGCTTTTGAACAAAGGATTTTGCCCTGTACTGTATGTTGGCTAAACTTATACATAAACATACAGTAGTTACCTTCCCAGTACCTCTCTGAAGAACTTAGCAAGCAAGTTTTTGCCTCTGGTGAGCAGAGTGAAGAGTTTGGAACCATAACTGTTTTCAAGGCTAATGGCCATACTTTTTCACTCGTGAGAAAACTGAGAAGCTCCTATTAATGAGCATCAGCAAAGAGTGAGAGACGTGCTTCTTGTTAGAAACTGGCCTTCCCAAGTAGACCTTTGTCTTAAAGAACTTGATTCATAGTTTTTCTGTAGTTCTTCAGCAAAGAAGAAACCAAGTTTTTTTGTGTCAAAATAATCAGGGCTTTCTTTTTTGTTTTTTGTGTGACACAAACTTTTGTATAGTGTGTGTATGTACGTGGTATATTTAACTCTGTAGTTTCTATATATTTTCCTTTCTAAGTAGCATCCTTAATGAGCTGTTCTGGTTCTTGAGTTACTGGTGTGACACGCTTATGCTTTAGGCAGACTCAGGAGTGAGCTGACCAAACATCTTACTGTGATGAAGTCATTCAGTGAGGGGATTGCATCATCCATCCTCCTCTTGCTGTTTCCTCTAAGAGTGCAGAAGTGGTACCCACTGTCAGAGCTGCACCTTCACGCAAAGCAGGCAATGGAAGTGTGCCCATAAAATCAGTGACTGTCTGCTGTGTGGATGAAGGACCAATACAGCAGAGGTGGAGAAAAGGGGTAGTCAGGCATTACTTACTCTCAGCTGTACAAGGATCTTTCATGGGCACTGGAACAAGTATGCCTAAAACGGGAATGCAGCTTTCAGTGCCTAAAGGGACACCATTCTAAAACTCTCCATGCCAAGTAAATCCTCTCCTTCTATACAAATTTTAATTTCTTTACATCTGGAAAGCATTTGGCTTACAGCTGTTTGCTTGTTCAGAAGCCGTGTTATCCATTCAGGGAGATCATAGGAGAGGCTGGAGGAAAGCATGAACATGACTCTTCATCTGAGAGAACACCTTGCAGCATTGGATCTGGAGCACTATGCATGAGCCCCCTTGCTGCATTACAGAGAAGGAAACTTGTGGAGATGTATCCCAATATACTCTGCTCAGTCAGAATTTATACAGCTTATATATATATATTATTTTTACAGTTTATATGCAGCCTATGAAAGTGTCAGGCATGGTCTGTGTGGGTGGCACCTTCTGCATGGAGATCTGAGATACCTGCAGTCTGGTCTGTTTTAGCACTAGAGAAGTACTGAGCTGTTTGGGAATGCTTAGTGTGATCCTTCCAGCAGGTGCATAGCTGGCTTTGGTGCTGGACCTGGCACCCAACTGGCAGTGGAACACTGTTTGGGAAAAGCACCAGTCATTTGACCCATGTAACTTGAATATGGTTTTAAAAGAAAGGAAAAGAAAAAAAAAACAACTCATACATATGCCATTGTGATGGCTTTGTATTCCTGTAAACATCCCCAGCCTTGCAGTTGTTCACCTGTTCAAGGATTTGGACTTCAAGGTAGAGCACAAACATTAAGTGTTTGTGTGAACTATTTTGCTTTATCTTTCACTAAAAAGAGAAGCATTTGGTGCAGACATTGGAGCTGTTGTGTTTATATCCCCAAAAGGGGCCGGGTGAAAGAGATGACAACTGTGGTGTGTGTTGAAGGCCTTAAGCTGTGACTCTTGGTATGAAGAATTGAATTAAAACTGACCTTGAAGAATGCAGTGAATTTTAACCCATGGAAGAATACTTAGTTAAAGCAGTATGTACTGCTGTTTTCTTGGGAGGGAGAGGTTCAGAGCTCAATTTGTGTGTGACCCTGGCTAGCAGCTGTTTAGGAAATGTCTGTATGTGGGAGCCAAAAGTAGTGCAGTTCTCTGCACTAGTGTTCCTGTGTAGCTTATATAGTTCCTGTGTAGTTCCACTGGTAACTTGTTCCTGGGCTGCTGAAAGCAGGAGACTTATTGAGAGGGTTGGGGACTTCAGAAGCAGTGGCAGCTAGCAAATTCATTTCTTCAACAGTAGGTAAACAGGTCTCACATGAATATGCCAAGGGTTGGTGCTGTTCCAAAAATACCCATGGTGAGGTGAAACATGCACCAAACCATCTGACCACTCCACTGTAAAACATTTCATTTTTTTTGCCAAAACTCATCCTGTTCAGACAGTATTTCTGATACTCCTTAATGGTATATTAAGCTTAATGCATCTCCAGCCTCCCAATGTTAATTTCAGACCCATTTATTTGAGAGAGGACAGAGGAATGCTGGAGCCTGAGGCTTTAGGTTAGCAGCCCCAAAGCCAATGGTGGCCCACATTTCCACAAGCCCTGGGCAGCATTACCAAGTCACAGCACTTCGTCTTAAATTGCACTGTATTCTTATGCCTCTGTGTTGCTATAATGTACATATATATTGGATTTTTTTGTAGATAAGACATTTTAGATAAAATTTTTAAATGGGCTCCCCCCAAAATATTTTATGCCAGATGTCTAATTTTTTTTACACTCGTGATTAACATGAATTTGGATGCTCTTTGGGCAGGGAAAAAGATAAATGGATGGTACATTGGCTTTAAAAAGGTAACAATGCATGTTTAAAAAAAAACACTGGAGAAAAAAACTGCTTGGGAAAAAAATTCATTCAAATATATTCTATGTTCTGCATAATAAAGACTTTAAAAAAAATGCTATATTGTGGGTTTGGCTTTTTTTTCTTAATGCTAATGAGGCTTTTCCCTATTAGGGAGACCAAAGCCTTCTCTTCTTTCCCAATCCCTCTCCCACCTATCCCCCCAAAAAACTCTCAAAAAACCCTAACACACAAGTTTCATACTGAAATGACTGTGTAAAACCGTAGCCTGTTTGTTTGCTCAGATCAGTGTTCCCCTCTAGTCATGTACTCCAGAACGAGGAAACCTTGCATGCGAGATGGATACTCAGCTGTTTTCTGGCAGTCTCAGGTCCCTTGTACAGCAACAGCCTTGACATGCAATCTAGAAAAGCTGCTTCTGTTGCGGAGAGACACCTGCAGTGGCAGCTACTCTTCCTGACCTGCAGCACTCCCACGAGGGAGTGCCCATCAGAGCTGAGCGCTCGCCACGGAAAGCTGGCTGTGCTGGAAAGTCAGGCTGCTACCCTTGGGTGCTGTTACAGTGTCAGGCTGCTCTCAGCTGTCATGCTGCTAATGAGATGTTTGAAAGGGCTTCTTGATCCATCTCGCAAGGGATTCTTGACCTCACATCTGTCTTGCAGTCTGTGTCTTGTTTTAAACATTTCCTTCCATTCATCTCAGTCTTAAGTCTGCATAAACCAGATGTCGGTATTTGAAAAGGAGGTGCAGGTCCTGTTTTTAACTGTGGCTACACAAATGGGCCCAGGTGATTTGCAGCTCTGTGCTAAGGCTGCTGTAGAAATGTTTTTTCTGTTCAAGGTGTCCCTTTCTGGGACACTGCCAGCACTGGCACTTTTCCTCAGCAGGCTGCAAAACCTCCTTTCAGTGTCTTTCCCTAATAAGTTTTTCATAGTCCTTTCCCTAGTAATTTCCTTCACAGGCTCATGAGCGCCTGTGGAGATCCTGGAATAGATACTCTAGACCCAAAGTAAACAGCCACTCCATGTTTCCAACAGGCTTTGAGGGTTAGATAAGATGCTGCCGGCGTAAAAGACAGCGGATCAAGGAATAAAAACTTCTTTTGAGTGGTGGAAACTTCCTCCCGCAGCTCGGGAACAGCCGGAGCTTTCACTGGGGAGCACAGAGCCCCGTTTCTGCCTGTCGCGGACCGCGCCGGGGGTGGGGGGGGCTCGTCCCCGCTCTCCCGCGGAGCGGCCCCGGTGCTCGGAGAAGGGGAGGCAGCGGCCTTTGCAAGCTCTTCTCCCCGGGGGCGCGGCGGGAGGCTCCGAGCCCTGATGCGCTGAGCCCCTCGCCCGGCCGCGGCCCCGCTCCTGCCCCTCTATCCCGGGCGCCTCCATCCTCCCGCCTCGTGCGGCCGGGCCGGAGCCGCCGGGCCCCGCGGCCGCCCCGCCCCGCCGGGAGGGCGCTGCGGCGGGGCTGCCCCGGCGGGAAGCGCCCGGTGGTGCCGCTGGGCTTGAGCGAGGCCGGCGCCGCCGCGGCGAGAAACAAAGAGTCCCGGGCCGGGCGGCCCCGCCGGAGGGGCAGCGCCCCGCGGGCACAGCCGGGCGGAGGGGGCGGCGGCCGCCCGGGCCATGCAGCTGCCGGGAGGGGAGGAGCGGAGCGGGCGGCGGCGCCCCGGAGGGGGCAGCGCCCGGAGGGAGAGGGGGGAGGTCTGGCAGTGCCGGCAGCCTCCGAGCAGGGCAGGGGCGCGGCGGGGCCGTGCCCGCGGCCGGCAGCCGCGGCGATCGCCCGGGCGGGGCTGGACCGCGCTTCGTGCGAGCAGGAGCCTCTCCCCGGCGAGCGGCCTCCCGCCCGCCCTCCGGTGCCCAGCGTTGCCTGCAGAGCTGCGGCAGCACCGGCGAGTGACTGCGCGGGGGGAGGAGAAGAGGAGGAAAAGAAATCGGATTGCCGAAAGGATTAGGAAGCGGGGTGGGGAGGCGAAGCTCTCTCCTCCCGTCCCTCCCCGCACACACTTGTGAAGCTATTCAGAGTTATCCTTCAGCATCAGTGGCGGGCGAGCCCGGGGGAGCCGCGACCGCGAAAGGTGCTCGGCAAACTGCAAGAACGATCAGAGGGAGCGGAGCGGCCCGGGCCGCCGGACCCTGCCTCGGCCCCTGTCCCAGCCCGCGGGGCACCTCACTTCCCGGCTCCAGTGTTTTATATATTACTCTTTTTTTTCTAAGTTTTCCCCTGCTCCTCTCGCTTTCTCGGAGGACAGGATTTGGAGCATTGCGGGCGGGCGTGCTGCCGGACCGCCTGCCCTGGACGTGCGAGGTGGGGAGAGAGGGAGGGAGAAATGCCTCTGATTAGAGGGCAAGTCGTGCTCATCCTCAGTTTCGTCTTCCTGACAACTTTCGTGGCTGTGGTGAGAGGACTACCCGTGAGGAAACACCGCAGCAACAGCCCGAAGGAGAGGAGCTCCAAGCTGGCGGAGGTAAGGCAGCTTTTGGGGAAGTAGGGAGAGCCGGGACGGTGCTGAGGCGAGTCCTTCCGCAGTCCCTGCACCCCCTCACATGCCGGGAAAGCTGAGGAGGCAGCGGGCCACCTGAGCGGTCACCGGGGCTCCCTCGGAGGCGGTTGTGCATCTCGGACGGGAGCAGCATCCAACACGTGTCCCGCAGCCCGGCCGCCCGCAGCTCCAAGGAGAGAAGCAGCAGCGGGGAGGAGTGTTTGGGCCCCCCCTCTTATAGGCTGTTTCTTCACCCGTTGAGGGGCAGAGCGCTTTCCCGGCCTGCGGGATTTTCGGGCAGCCTCAGGTCTTCGCACTGCACAGAGGCTGAAGGAAAGGGGCTGCTTTTTAGCTTTCTGAGGTCGGGGCCGAATGTCGTGACCTGGTGCCTGGGAAGATCCGTTGCCTCCAGCAGCCAACATCCCAGGTGGGAGAGAGGGGTTAAATTAACGGGGTTTGTGCCTTGCCAGGAACGCCGAATCTCCTCTACCACAAACATAAGACATGACGGATTTTAGCCACCATCTCACCTCCGCGCCGAGACGCCCCTGGGGCAGGTTCCGGAGCGGCCATGCTCCCCTCTCATCCCCTGCGCCCCGCCGTGTCCCCCGGGGCAGGCGGCCTTGGGAGCCTCCCGGCCGGGAGGGGGTATGTCCCGAGGCTGCGCCTTTCGCTCCTTGGAGTGCCGGATCCTGGCCAGCGCTGGCTGCCGAGCGCGGACTGTGCAAGGGAAAACTTAAGCAGGCAGTGAGAGACTGGTCAGATTGGGAGACAACTGGTAGGATCTGATGGGGATTACAGGAGGGAAATAGGAAAGAAACAAAAGGAGAGCAGGGAGAAGAGTTTGAATAAGAAGGACAACTGGACGGTTGAAACAACCTGTTTTCATCTTGAAACTCTTCTCTGGAGAAAAAATGGTTCGGGCAGCACAACTGTGTTTAAAAAGTACTCTTTCAAAGAATGCTACTGGTAAAAGTAGGTGAAAGGAGTAATTGAGAAAAGTGGTGGTAGAAAGAGGTTGAGCAAGACAGGGTAAGAGCAGCTCAGCCCTCACAGGCGATACGCACCAGTATGGGAAGCAGCAGATTTGATCTGCAATGTCAGTCAGACTGGCAGAGGAGGTGTGAAGTGGTGGGAATATACCTTATTCCCAGTTAGTGCCGAAACAGAATGCTGATATGTGGAGGAGTTGTGCTGGCAGCTCCTGTCAGATGCCCTAAACTCCATTCCAGCATGAAATCCAGGGAACAAGTGCGAGGAGCGAATCTGATGATGCAAAGCCTTGCCAATGGGCAAGAGAGGGCACGGCCTGTGTCCAGCCAGGTACCGCTAGTCAAGTCTGGTGATAGTTTTGAGTGGAGCATGGACTGAGCAGATTGAAAGAGGACTGCTGGGAATATGTGCTCTAGGGCTGCTAATAACATGTTGGTGCTGTGCTTTGCTAGTGAAACTTTGAACCTAGACATAGATGGTGCTTCAGTTGCCAGAGAAATGCCAGGCAGAGTGACCTCGGGCTCTGGCTGCAGGAGGAGTAGCCATTTACACTTGAAATCCAGGAAAGTATTGCAGCTTGGGGGGGAGGGGGGGGGGGGCAAGGATAGAGACAAGCTGTATGTTAGGAAGTTATGCATGTGCCTACCACAGACTGTGCAGTGCAGCCTTCAGGCTCCTTTTTATCTGACATCTAAAATACGTGGGAGAGGGGAGCGAGCTGCTGTCAGTCCCAGTTTGTGAATGGTTGTGAATGGGGAGCGTTGTGCGGCCAGCCAAAGATCACACACGGCACTTACACAGCCCGGCCTCTGTCCCCAGGACCTTTGCTTCTTGCAGAAGTAGAAACATACAAGAAGTTTATAAGCAAATGTTTGAGGGTGGAGATTAGAAGCAAGGAGGAAGTTGAAAAATTAATTCCTCTGGGAGCGTGTTGGTGCTCCCGTGCACGCCCTGCATCCCTCAGAGTACTACTGGCTGCACAGTTCTCACGGCAGGGAGAAAGCAGCAGAAGACGCATTGGCATGTGTCTTCTAGCTGTGTTTTGGGATGAAATCCTGTGTTTCTGGTGCATGTCAGGGAGAATTTAGAGTAGTCATGCACAGCTGTTTGAACTAAAGCAGAGAGCACAAGCACAGCAGTATGGTGGTTAAAAAAAATCCGGAGTGATTTTGGGTCATACACACAGATGGTTCCTGTTGCAGCACTGATATGTCCTGTCTCTATGGCAGCAGGGTAGCCACAGCTCGAGTATTGGTTACACTATGGGTAATGCCCTACAGATGTGGGTAGAATGAAGGGGGCTGTGAGGAGAAAAATAGAAGTGACAGAGAAGAGCAGATAGACAATCAAAACCATTAAACAGTTATATAACTTGGACTTATTTTAATTTAACAACTTTCTTTAAAGCAAACATTTTTTGTTGGTTTAGAATTGAATGGGAATTGTTATAATCTGTGCTGAGCCTCAGAGTTGCACTTCTATACTAATATAATTTAGAAAAATTAAACCAAGTTTTTCAGTAAATTTTTGAGTTAGAAATTCTTCTAATTGCAGGAAGGATGGAGGAAACACATGCTTTATTTTTGGGTGATAACCTTATCAGTATGTCCGAAAGTCCTGTGCCTCAGTCAGGATCCATTACCAAAGGAGCAGGAAAATTTACATTTTCTCAGCTGTGACACTGGGCAGAAAAGCTTTGCCTGAGTTACACTGTTCTCAGCATAAACAACAGATGTAGCGAGGATATTTGCTATTGCTTCAGTCTGTTTGACTGGAAGTTGAAAAGGCAAAGTGAAGAAGTTGAAAGGCAGTTTTCTTTCCAAACTATGACTTAAATCTAATGAGAGAAGGTACGTACTTGTTTGGAGGCTTTTTGGTGATATTTGGGAAGGCAGGTGGACTCTGAAGCAGCAAGCAGGTGTACAGAAGGGTTTCTAGAAGTGATTTTGCAGATTGGATGCATCATACTTCGATGTGGGCAGAAATGTGGCAGGATGGAGCACTGACCAGCAAGTCTCTTCAGATTTGGGTAACTGAATAGTTCAAAAAGTTTGTGTCCCTTGTGGAGACAAGGTACAGCTCATCACATCACTTAATGGTTTATTTATTTATGAAGTCAGGAGGTTTAAATGCAAAATATGTTTTTATAAACTCACTGGATTTCAAAATGTTGGCTTTGAACACTGTTAATAGACATTTGAATTATTTCCAACTGATACCAGTTGATTCTGGTGCTTTTCTGGTAAATAGAAAACAGCTAGAGTCCTAACGTGCTAGAAATGTAAATGTTAGAAATTATTAGATCTGTTTGAACCGACATCACAGCTTCAATAACTGTGCATAGAAATAAAAGTACTAGTGGGAACGGTAATGGGGGTGTTGTGAGTGAGCATCCCGACAGTGACAGGGTGTGGCAGAGCAAGCCAACAATGTTTCATGGAGGGTCCAAACTCCCAGTCTAGCTCTGGTGGGCTTGATGTGTGCTCTTCAGTAAGAGGGAACCGCTCTGAGAGAGGGGTCCAAGAGCAACATCAGCAAGCTCCCCAAAGCACCTGGGGTGTTACTGCTGGGCTTGGACAGGGGCAGGGGGCAAATCCGGGCTGGAGCTTGCTATTGGAGTTCCCCTGGTCTGAGGCTGTGCACAAAGCAAATATGGCATCTGCGATAAGACATAACAGAAGGCAACAAAAGAAATATCAAGCACAGCATAAAGGCTGAATTGGCTGCAAATCAGTGGTTTTGTGCAGCACCTGATATGACTGGCTCCAGGCCCCTGAGAAATAGCGAAACAAGTGGCAACAGTACCTATTATTTACTGGTTAAATCAAGCAGTGAGAGTAGCGATGGGAAACTACATACAAAAATGTAGGTCTACACCTGATTAAAAATAATTGGTAGCAGTCTTGATTTAAATTGACCTGCCCTGTGCATAAGGACAAGTGAGTGTCCAGGAGTTCTTAAGAATTAAATGTACAGCAGTCACATGATGCCTGGCTGGAGATAACAGCAAATGGAGAATGAAGGAGCTTCAAGGTGACATGGCGTGGCTGTACTAGATAAAAAAGTGTCAAAGGGAAAGAAATATCATCTAGGCTTGAGTGGAGTTTGTCAGGAGACTGTAAGCAGAAGTAGCCCTGTCATTTGGGAGCCTAACATAGCCTAGACACCACTGGGTTGGTCTGGGGACACCACTGGGGTGATGAGCTGCACAGCCACAGAGGTCTGTGGGAGCCTGCCCTGTGCCTCCCCCCAGCTCTTGCTCCTCTTGACTCTTCTAGGGCTGTCTGGCCAAGAAGAGGATCTCACTTTCCCAGAGCCATCTCGCCCTGCTGTGGATCTCCAGCTTGTGTTGTCACCCAGGTCTGCCCTGTGTGGAGCATCTTGTTGCGCTGCCGCCTCGTAAGGAGGGCCCGGCTGGGGTACGAGTGGGCGGCCGGGTCGGTGCTGGCTGCCTGCACAGCCAGATCCCCGCCGCCACCGCGGGCTGTGTCAGTAGCAGAGTCATTTTGCCTGCGGATGTGCTTTTTACCTTTTCATTTCTTCAGCAATTAAGCGTTCTTGTCCCTGGCTTTGTCCTTGGCGGAGGTCGGATTTGTGGGTACAAAACGTTCACTGAAGCATCCTTCCGCTCTGAAAGGGGCTCTTTGTGTGCAGGGAGGTACTTCCCCCTTTGTAGCAAATTTCCTTTTGAGAAGTGCCAAATTATCTTAGTCAACACAGTTGAAAACCCTCCCGCCCTGGGGCTGAGACAGCAGCAGAAACAAAGGGGAGCCGGGTGTAGGGAAGCTGCCCAACAAGCGGGCTTCTTCCCTTTTCACTGCACAAATAGGTCTGCTGCATTCCCATTGTTACAATCAAAGGGGTTCCTGTAAAAGGCACATGTAAGGGGAAGAGATGAGGCATAAATCGCTCCACAGGGCATTGCCCGGCACTCTCTCTCGGTTCACAAAAGTGTCCAGCTCATGCAAACCTTCTCCTCATCATGCTTCCAACCATGATCCCTCCAAGCCAGGTGGGGTGATGGAGGGAGTGTGCTAGAGTTAATTCCTACTTTCCTCTTGTCAGTGTCCTATGGATAGGGAGTGCAAACCAGGGATCATCTGTTTTCCGTAGTAGCAATAAATATTCTTCCACTCAGAATAATCCCCGAAACAAGAAGCCCTGATGCTTCCCATAGGGAAGCCTGAGGACAGTCTGAGCTATGGACAGGCCACCAAGGTGTCCCATGCTGTCCAGCTCCTTCAAAGCAACTGTTGTCAGCCATAGGCTCAGGTTTTGTATAAAATACTGGAGCAAGGAAGAGATTGTGGCATGTTTCAATGTTAAATTATTTTTGTTTCAGACAGAAGCTTGCAAAATAGTGGTGCGAGGAGTTTGGGTTTTGGTGTGGTTTTTTTTTTTTGGTAGAATGTTTTGCAAGGAACCTTCATTGAGCGGTCAGATGCTTTTACGTGGCCAGCTGTAAAAGTCAGCCTGCAGAGGATTGCTTCCAAACAGTCCCGTTTCTGCATGTTCCTTCTGTGTATTAACTCCTGAGGGTTGTCTGAGAAGCTGTTTGAGATGTACTTTCATCTCTGTACTCATGAGATGAAGACACCAAAAAGATGGTGACCTGCCTGCCTCTCCATCATGAATGGCCCTTGGCGTGAAGGGCACCTATGCCTCCTGGGCTTCAGGTTGGTTTCGTCTCCAGGGCAAGGATACAGCTTCAAAGGGAACAAAATGCAGTAAATTGCTGCCTTTTGCTGTCTCCTGGCACCACTGGATGGGCACAAGGTAGAGACCTGGCTGCAGATGACCAGGAAATGCTCATGCATGCAGGGAAGAGGTGGTGAGGTTTGGGTTTATCTTGGATTAGGAGCTGATGGTTGGCCTGGTCTGTCAGGGTCTTATCTAGCACTCAGGACTTGGGGTGCAAGGCAGGTCTGGGAACATGTCCCAAACCAAGAGAGCCACCATCATGTAGGGTGCAGTTGGAGTCTGGCACATGGCAAGGGTACAGTGCCCTTCAGATGAGCTGTCTTCTAGCCCAGCCTTGGCAGCCTGAGTCTAGGGGTGAGCAAGCCAGTCTCAACTCTTTCCCAACAGCTGAGCCCCCAGGCTCCTGAGACAGCAGTATTTGCTAGATGGCCTAGAGGTGCTGCAAGAGGTGCTCCGCCAGTGGAGAATTGACACCTCTTTGCCTCCCTGGGATGTCCTCTCTTCCCCACCACTTTGGCACACTTTCCTGCTGCGCTCCCTGCCCTCCCCTTCACCTCCAGCCATTCCCGCAGCAGCCAAAATCCCCAGGGATGCCAGCTGTGCCGTGCTGTGCTGTGCAACGCAGCACCTCGGACAAGACAAGGTGTTGTACAAATGTCTTCACATAGGCTGTTCCCCCCAACAGTTTCCCCTCTTGAAACATTGATTTTTAAGGAGCAGGCAGCCTTAGCATGTAATAAAACTACAAAGATGCCTCTTAGGGGAGCATCTGGTTCTCTTCTGGGACGTATCTGCGGAGTGGCCCTCCTCATGCCTTCAGCAGAGGAGATGTGTGGGTGTCTCAGAGTCCGCTTGGCTTCTGCATCCAGGATTACAGCTTGAGTATGGTGTGTCTGTGACCACTGTGGGGACTGGTCCTGGGGTTACCTCTAGGAAGTGACTGGCCAAAGGGAAGAGGAGGGGTCAACTGGGGGCTAAGATGCTGGAAAAGTGGGACTTCCCATCTGGATATGCCCTAGCTTTCCTCTGACTTTGGATTTGCCTCTGCAGCTTTGCAAACCTCAGGCTTCTGTCTGATGGGAGGAAAAAAAAAAGAATTATTTTTGATGAAGCACTTAAGAAGTAACAGGGGCTGTCCTGGAAAATCTTATGAACAAGTGAGTTATGAACACCACAGATTGGAGCTAGAGGAAGGTACTCCAAGACCCTTTCTCCGCCCCACACTGATGTGCAGGAGTCATTAAATCCTGCCACTGGGCTGGGGAGGGGAGCTGAGCTCATCTACAGGCTGGGGAGCTGCAGCCAAGCACGTGGAGCAGGTGCTGCTGGCTGTGAGTCATCCTAGGTTTGTCCCTTAAGGAATAGAGATGGAGCATCCCTGCCTGGATCCCTTCCTGTGCAGGGCATGGAGATGCTCCAAGTCCAGCTCAGATGTCCCTTTTGTCTGTTGTTGAAGGGATCCCCGATGGATTTCTATTTGGCTGGTTGGCTGCATTCCCTGCCAACCTGCTTGCATGGAGGGGCGGCCTCTGCACCCTGTGTGGGACACGGGGAGTAGGTGCCCTTAGTTCCCTCTTGCCCTGTGTCCCCCCACACCAATACCCCTTTTAGCAGGCAGGAGGAGGCTGGCATTGGTTCCATCAGTTTCTACACTTGCTTTGCTATATTTTGGGGCATTTTGTTTTTGCAGTTTTGCCTGGTCTGCAGCAGAGAAGGGAGCAGCAGCTGGAGCAGAGGGTTACGGTGTGCAGGCTAACAAATGCGGATCATTAGCTGGAACAAGTTAATGGTTACTGAAGCACATGGAGTTTAGAGCTGGAACAAGTTAACAGCAGCTCAGTCTGATGCATTAGGAGCTTATGCGTATTACAGCTCAACTATGTTAACAGAAAACATGTGCCCTGGCAGGAGCATTTGCCAGAGAGTACCAGAGGATATGGACGTGTGTCTGTTCACCTCTCTGGGGGACCTCTATGTGCAGTCTCTGCGGGGGCCCAGCTCCCATACCCATGGCTCTGCTGCATCTGAGCAGCTCCCAGTTGGCCTGGCTGCAGCAGAAGTTTCAGGATACGGTCTCAGGTTAAGGGTCTTCGGGTAAGGGTGCCTTGCCACTGGCTGGTGTCCTTGCAGCAGGCACTGCCTGTCAAGGATAGGCCCTTGGGACCTCTGCACTTGGACAGAGTCTCCTGGTGTAAGTACAACCCCATGTGCTGTGCTGTGATATGTCAATGGTGCCAACCATATACCCCAGTTTCCCCTCAAGGACTGTGTGGTTCATCCATGTGGAAGGCAGGGCAGTCCCTCCTCAGGGGCAGGGACCTTTCCTGTGGTGAACCTTTCCGAGAGGCTTCTCCAAGTGGGAGACCCACATCTATTCCTGGCCTTGCCACAGGCTACCTGAGAGACCTTGGGCAGGTCATTTTCTTTGTCTGCAAAATGGAAATTTTACAGCATTTGTCTCAGTGTTAAAGAGGGAGAAGATATTTATGGTAGTGTGACACTGAGAAGGGCAACAGCTAGACATGGCAAGGTGAAAAGCCACCAGGCTCCTACTTTTCCTCCTTGTGTCACAAGTGATCTGGGAGTGAGGATGCCACTGGCAAGTTACTCGTCAGCACATCCACAGGAGAGCTGACTGCAGTGAGAGGAGCTGGGCTGTGCCAGTGGGATGCATGGTGAGGAGCACTGTCAGTAGCCTGGACAGCCTCCCCATTTTTGGTCTTACACAGTCACCTATGCTGTGTCCCTGCTCCTCATGGTGCTGCATGCTGCTGCTTCTCCATGCTGTGGTGTCTTCTGCTCCAGGGCTGGCTCTGCCTCAGGGCAACTGAGTCACCAACCTTGGAAAGAGTTTTGAGATTACTGTTGTTGCAATTGTGAGACATGAGTAAGCCTTTGATGCTGCCTCCTGCAGCTTCCTACTCAAGACAATTGGGATGGAGCTAGTTAGAGAAGAAAGTGATACCATATGATCTAAAGTATTTTGATAACTGCGTGAAAATTATAATCATGAGGTTGTAATAATTATCTGCACAGCCTACAGCATGCTGCCAGCTCCTGCTGGCCTGTCATAAACAGGATCTGCCCACGCAAGCATGATAACCAAGTGCTTTGTTTGTTCCATGAGCACTTGTAGAACTCCCCCAAAACCTAAATGGAGTCTTTACTTAAAAAAAAAAGGCAACAAACCAACAAAAAACCAACCAAACAAATGGAACCATAAAAAATACTCCCTAAAACCAGCACCCAAGTGTGAGTTGATTCTGAGGTGGACCAGAGAGTACAGCAGGTGGGAAATCATGGTTCTGCTCTTTACTTGGGCCTCAGCCCCTTTGCAGGCGGGATTGTAACCCAGGGCACAGGAAGAGGGAGGCAACTGGAGGTATTCACTTCTTTAAATTACCTCTGACAGATCTTCCAGAGCTCAGCCATCAAAACCCTGAGTGATAGCTCCTGCTAAGCCACCTGCCTGTAAGTCTAAATGTGTTGTGTCCGATGACTGTGATTGTGGCTCAGAAGGTCTTACAGACAGTAGCAGGAACTGGGTGGCATCTTCACCTTCCCTGATATCTCCTAGGTACCCACCCAGCTCTTGACACCTCTAGAAGCTTTGGCAAGGCTCTGGGAAATCCGTTAAGTGGGTGATGAGCTGATGGGTAGCAGAGGTCACTTGCCTGATGTTTGTCCCATGGATTTTCCATCTGGCTGAAAGACTCCC